GAGTACAGGATGGGAAATGTCAAAACAAGTGCACTTCCCCGTATTCCATCCCCAGGCTCCATGCTGTTGGACCGACATATGTGTGTGTGTGTGTGTGTGTGTGCCTGCAACCCTTTTCTGTTTTCTTCTCACAGTCACACCACTTGTGCATATCTGGCTGGCCTCTGCGACTATGTGTTGAACTGTGTGGCTTTTGGATCATGGCAGCAATCCCCGTCCAATGATGCTAATATTTACTTGCTTTTGGCGTTTTTTGTTCTGCTTGTTTGCCTGATGGTAGTTTTCATGCAACGCGAGACGAGTAGCATATGCAGACCAGGGGTGCAGAGACATTCTTGGCTAAATGTGTGTCTGCCGGAAGTTACTTGGCTGAGTCTTGTTGGCCTGGGTGCTCGGGTACCGAGAAACAACATAATATACCCGGAACGCCAACGCGGCTTTTTCGTAATACCAAATCTCAGCCCTGGAGTCTGCAGGCAGTAGTGGGCGATTCTCACATTGCCAATAGTAGTTACTCCGTTCAAGCTTTCTGTTTTCGCGTGTTCCGACAATACAATGTTAATGAGGTCCGCGTGACTACTCCGACATGATCGCCACATTCTGATCGGAGAATAACAAAGTGCGGCTGTTGTTGGCATCTGAACACAGCCACTGTGTTCGACATACGCCAAGCGCGACAATGTTCTGCCAATTTTGGTGATGATGGTGATGATGGTGATGATGATGATGATGATGATGATGATGATGATGTTGTTGTTGTTGATGTTACTAATCTCGTTCAACTGTCAAGCACGAAAATGTCAAGATATGCTCTCATGCTCGAGAGTATCGATCTGGATAGATATCAAGACACACTCCCTGATCTGAATACTCCGTATCGTGCCACACTACTCCGTACATAAACCTCACCTGGCTGGCCATGTGATGTGACGGGAGCAAAGACAAAGGCCCTTTCCCGCAATGTAGGGTGTGGGACCGGTGAGTAAGAGGGACCAATGCGAACCTGGTGTCGACTTCAACGGCCGCTGGGCGAGTTGGCGAGACCTGAGAATCAGGATCATCATTACCCGACGCCTGCTAGCCGGTGACCAGGGTTTAAGAGTTGTCGAGGATGCCAGATGCGCAAGCCTGCGCCCCGCCAATGGCATCGGCCATCAGCACTGGCACTTCGTACTGGGATTGGCATCAGCATCGTGCGATGCGACCATCCCCAGCGCCATCATTCGCCTGGTCCATTCACGTTCAGGGTTGAGGTTACGCCGAGCTCAGGCACTGTCGAAGCTTCAGCATAAGCAGGTCGGCTATTTAGGTTGTCAGCAGTGGATACATGTTTACTTTGGAGAAAAAGCAGCCTCGCAAATCACATGGACGGACGGAAGGAAGCAAAGGGACATGGCCAAGATAGGCTAGGATGCAAGCCTCGGCGGCGCAAGCAAGGGGTCGGGTGAAGTACTATTCTGTGGCAGCATACGATCGTCCTTTGGATCGGAATCAAGCCAAGCCCGTGCGACCAGCTGCATGATAGGGAATAAAGGGGCTGGAGGTAAAACATCGTGGCTGCTGGGACGTGATGGGAGTTTGGCGGTAGCGCAACGTGATGCGGTCGACCTTGAACGAAGTTGAACAGAGTTTAATATTCCGTAGTACGTACGGAGTACTCGGTATGGAATACGTATCGATCTGGAGAGCCACGGTGGAGCCCTGCCAAAGCGTGGCCACAACAGCCGCAAGCGCGACCGGCAAGTGGGCAACTTCCTTTCCCGCGGCCGGAACCGTGAACGGCAGGAGCAAATGGCTGGCGGGAAAGACTGGGGAACGGCGTACATACTAATTCTCTGTCGGACTAGGTCATTGGCTCACTAGCTCCTTCCTCTTCCATCTTCATATCTCACTCCCTCTCTCCATTCCAGCACGACGGCGGCAGCAGCGCCCGCGTTTGCGTTGGAGAGTTTGGAGACTTGGGGACTTGGCGACTTGGCAAGAACCTCAACTGCCCTCATCCTCGATGCTCTCTCTCCACATTCTTCTTCATGGTTCAAGTACATACTACCTCCCCACATGTCCCACGTTGCCATCCACGCCCACTCAATGCCGTGTCTTTGTTTGTGTTTGAGACCAGAAACAATATCGAGCACGAAGTAGTATCATGCAAAAATGTAAGAAATCCGGGCCATATTGCGTGGCCCTGCTCGGTTGCATTGCGCATGCTACCGTCTTAGCTGAACTCTGGCGCGCATGGCCAGATCGTTTTAATGTCTGACTGCCACATCTTGACGTAAACCCATGCCACGATTAGCGTCGTGACTTGTCATACTCAACAGTCTGATGAACTCTAGTTCGCCGCCTCACGTCGCAGCGGTCCGATCGTGGCTCCCCACATTGTCGACAAACCACTACAGCTGTTGCGCATGAATGTACACATGGTCAATGGCGTGTGCGTGTCAGCCGAAATCTGCGTTGCTTAATACCGCATCGTACATGACATTTGTACTCCGTACTCCGTACAAAGCACCTCCTTCAAGGTATGTGATTCGACGCTGGGGCCTCTTGATGGCTTGCTCCTAGGGCCATGACTGATGATGCTTTGCTATTGCAAAGAAGCACAACAACGGGTTGTCCTGCAGTCTACAGAAAATAGTAACATGACCGGTGAGAAACTATCGCATTACAACCCATCTTCTAGCCCATTTCTCGATGTGCCAGTATCATCACCACCTAATATCGATGAAATTGTGGGATGCTTCATCTTCCCACGACAATCAAGTCAAGTCGGTCAAAGTGGTGGTGATTGTCCCACTACAGCTTGTTTGGATCAAAGAGGCTTAAGACGCATGGAATGGCTTCGTGGCGGAAAATACGTGCCCGACGTCAACAGCGACAGCTCCCTTCCCTGAAAGCATCACCAGTGTGGCAAGGGTACATGATGGTTGTTCTGGGGGTCTCATCAAGACATCTCAGAATTGAGGTTTGCTCGAGTCGTGTCCCCCCTGGGTCACATTTGGGGAACTATTGATTCTTATTCATACGGCCAGGCCGGATTGGCGTTGAGGACTGGAACCTGTAGCAAGACTTCCTTTTTTCCCCGAACTCTGGCTGCGTGTTTGACTGTTTTTTGTTTCCCAGGCCGTGTCTTAGTTTCCCTTTCTACAATAGTAATAACTTGGTTATCTGTTCTTTCTTCTGTTGCTGGGGGTTGCACATGAATGCCGATTTCGAGTTGGGCGTCAGTCGCATGTTTGCTGTTTCTTGGCGACGTGAGTCTGGCTCCTTTGGGTGATATAGCACGTGGGTGCTGTCTTGCGAGTTGCTTGACGAGTACTTGGTGCATTCTCTTGGATTCCATTTACTTATGTTAACGACGTAATGCGCGAATCGCCATTGTTTCCAAGATTGCGGTCCCAATCTTCTTCCAACACCGAGACCGTTTCTCTCTCCTCTGCAGTGATACGTTCTCGGAACAAGTCATTTCTTCGCAAAGCTTCCCAGAGCTCATGCAATATATTGAAACCACATCTCTTGCCGCCTCTCGCCTGTTTCGAACGAAACCCAAACTGCATCTGAAGCGACGGTCTATCCAACATTTGATTGACGACTGGGCCGGCCTCGTGCTGTAGTGTCACCAAATACTAAATATAATATAGTGAATGAAGATGCTGCACACACACCTCGTCTCTCATCCATCAACGCCACAAGTGGTCCAGCATCTCAGCATTTGAGGACCCCAAGCCCAGGGTGGTGCTGGGGAAACGAGGCCAGGGTTTTTCGTGTTTGTATACGTTCGATGAAGGCGAGCAGACACATCGTCCGTCTGTCATGCACAAGTTGCAATCTACTAAAGAAAGATGTTTTGCTCAAAGAAATCTATTGGACCCGATTCCCGAGGACGGCATCGACGCGGGCACCGCGGGGTCAGCCAGCTCTGCCACGGAGTCATATTATCGTATCGGTTGCCTACGACGTCGTAGGGTCATGTATTCGCCTTGTTGATGGCAGACTCGATGCAACTAGCCTCACAAAGACGCTTGGATAATTTCGAACTAGACACAAATATGCGTGCGTGGTCCCTATTGAGCGCGTGTCGACGTCGGCCGGGCGTCCAAACAACAGTTTCTTCCGAGCGGCTGATGCCAACGTGATGGATGACACTGACCGGAAAAGCCGCCGTGAGAGAGGAAACAAGTTGGAATCGAAACTCGAACTCGTGACTCGAGAGTCGAGACCATCCCTGCCTGGGCTTAGCCGGTCGTCTTGGGTCGGGTGAAATGGTGTGGATAAGACTAACCAGACAGGTAAAATAACTAACCAGTACTGGTAGCTGACAGCGGGCGCCATAGGAACCCATGGACGCGGGAAAGGCGGGAGAGATCAATATGGAGTACGACTCCGTTTAGTCGATGCCGCCACGCGGGACTCGGCAAACTGCACACCACATACTACGTACATCCATCTCCCAATGTCTGTCAGATTTTGACATTCTACAAACTTGCCGTCATGTATCCGACCGTGCTCAATCCCAGCCAGCATATGGACGAATCATGTGATCCAACACGTCTGTCGAATCAAGGCCGTGGCAGGGCTGCTCGTGCCCCCTCTCCTACTTTACGGACATGACCAAGTCGTGTATCCAGTCACGCTTTGTGCAACAGGTCAGTTGGAGCCAGCATGGTCTTTACTTTGCGGCCCCAATAAAATCCGGACAGAGTTTCGTGGAAACGGCTGTCTGGGTCAACTGGTTCTTTCAGACCCTGCGCGTTGCATCGTCCGGTGTGGCCAGATGTGACACTGGTGATCTTTATACAATTCGGTCCAACTCTTGTAACCGTTAAGGTCAATCGGCGGATTCTGCAGACCGAATCTTCACACGAGAAGGAATCTGGGTAAGTGGCTAGGCCAAACCCACCGATGTTGCTGTGCGCGAGAAATTGCCAGAATCATCTCCAGTGGCTAACTCGGCGACTTGGCTTCTAGGACGTCCACGAGCTAGTGCAACTGTCCCCAAGATGGATCTGAGCCAGCAGTCCATACATGATGTGATTCACCCCACAGCAGCATTCTCGACATACAATAGTCGGGATACTCCTGTCGGAGCAACGCCATTGTCAAATGCGGGTATTCCGTGGGCTGATTCGCTCCTGAATCCTAAAAACCGCATCGACAGCCTTTGCCCGCCGAAGAATCCCCTGTGGCGTATCGACGGATGTACGGCCTTTGGAACACAGCTCTATGCCGTGCCACTGTTTGTGGATAAGATCCCCCCCTTTCGGGTAGATGTCTTTATTCCCGAGCCCGCAACACTTCCAGCAGACGTCCGCGATCCTCTCGACCTTGACGTGACCTTTTATACCAGGGATCGCACTCGAATCTCCTCGCTAGGTATCACCAGTCATGTCCTACGATGTCTACAGTATTGGAGCTCTGCCCAGAAAAACATGATGGGCATCTACGAAAATCTGCCCTTTGGCTCACGGATTGTATTTGAGAGCTTGCCCAAAAACATTTCAGAGGCTCGCATTTGCGTTGTTCCTACGCATTACCTCGAAAGACAACTTCTCTCCGTCCCAACCCTGACCAAGTATTGGGGCGAGGAGATCAACCTACCACGCACCGTCGACATCAACGACGTTGTGTATCTGTCTCAGTTACACGACAGTGTCTGCCTTGTGGAAATAGAAGGCAAAACATGGATATTCAAAGCCTTGACAAGTTACACCAAATATCTCTACCACGAGCTCAGACAGCTTCTCAGAATGCCACCGCACCCCAACGTCGTTTCCCGCCCAGTTCACCTTGTCACAAAGAAGTGCAGTTTCGGCAACAAGACGGCAGTCGTGGGGTTCACTCTGGAATATCACATCTACGGAAGCCTGCGTGACCTGATCCCATTCATGCAGCTCCACGGCCAGGTGTCGCTTGCTGAGAAGACGAAGTGGTCCCTGCAACTTTCCTCCGCCTTGCGACATCTCCACAACGTCGCACATTTCTTCTATCCAGATCTGAGGTTGGACAACATTGTTCTGTCCGAGTCCCGTGATGCCATTATGGTGGACTTTGAGCAGCGTGGCGTTTGGTGCGAGTTCGCGGCGCCAGAAGTCAATGCGATCGAGTACGTCCGGCTGCTGGCCATTGATGACGAAATTGATCCAGATATCCGTGACAAGTACGCCGGTATTCTGTCGGAAATGCTCCCTGGGTGGGAGCAGATGGGTCAAGGAGAGGACTACATTTGGCCCTCCCGGGGCTACAACGTGCCGTGGGCGTGCCTGACTTGCACTGAAGAGGAAGCCTGTGAGGTCTACATGCTTGGAAGGGTCCTCTGGTGCATCTTCGAGGCTAGCAGTGCTCCCCAGCGAGCTGCCGTGTGGCTATCCTACCCGTGGGAGCCACTAGTAGAGTTCCCGGGTTACACTACAACGCCGGAACCCATCAGGCAGCTCATTGATGCCTGCACGCGAGGAAGACAGATTGGCCTAAGCAAATACATAGTCAGGAAGCAGAAAAAGTTGGTGATGCGGGAGCTGGAGGACACGGAAGATTCTACTCCTGAGCAGGTTCAACAAATGGCAAGTGACTGGTGGACTAAGGAGATTGCCTTTTCAGAGAAATGGCTGAATGAGCGGGCAGAAGGTATAAAGAGGGGCGATTGGAATGAAAACTACTACAACCGCCCCAAGTTGCAAGAAGTTTATGACGCTCTAAATGCTTACAAGCAGCAGAGTGGTTATGCATTTTAGAACAGCGTTGACTTAAGCTCATAACCTGTTCCCGCAGGTGATTTGAAGCATGACGACTGGATATAGGTACACATGTAGATGTTCAATGGAATTTGCCCCTTCTTTCCTTCCTTCCTTGCTCCTTTTTTTTCGACTTTTAACTCTTTTGTCCTCCCAAATTACCCGTTGGCAATTAAGTAGACTAGCCACTTAATGATCTCTTCTGGTCTTAGCAGCCACAAACAACGCAAAGGTCAATTTTCTAAACAAAAAAAGAAAAGAAAAAGAAAAGGGGGGGTAACGCATAAAGAACTTTAGAAAGCTGCGGTGGGAGATGTAGAACGACGCTCGACATTATAATAACCAAAAGCCACAACGCTATTATGATGCTGAAATGTTGTAGTATGTTGATAGATATGGTATGATGCCCGTGAGGTTGTTCCAAACAATATTGACAGCGTTTTAAGGAGGCAACATAGCTCCCTATCATTTCATCCGCTTGGAGTCATGTCCACGTCCCTGGCCGGGTACATGGCGCTTCAGACCAGCCCCAGCAGAGGATTTTCGCAACCGTCCAACTAGGATGCGAAACCTGGCGACATAAGCCGTCGGGGCTCCCTGAAGTTCAACTTGGTCCAGAAGTGCCTCCAGGTTATCAACATGATGGCTAGTAGCCTCGGGAAGCAAGTCTAACTCTGCAATTACAAAACTGTCCTCGCCTCGGTCACCAATTAATCGTAGGTATAGATTGCGATCAACCCGGCTTTGTCCGGAGCAGGCCTCACGGTTGCGGGCCACAACCGAGGAGAGAATCTGCACCAGCGTGCGGGCGGCGCTTAGAGCCTCGTAGGATTGCAAGGGACGATCGCGAGTGTATATGGAGGAGCGTATTAGGCCGACGATTCCAAGGAGATGCCTTGCAGCCCATGTTACATCCCGGGCAGTCGTTTGGTCGGCCATGCCACGCGTTTCCGCACTGCTGCTCGTAGGCGATGATGAGCAAGACGAATGTGAGAAGGAATCCAGTTCGCGTAGAACATGATCGGCGCGCTGCGAAAGTTTGCGGAAAATATCACATACGGAATCGGTAGGGCGAGAAAGTGACAGGAAGTATTGAAAAAAGTGGTGGTTGTCGAGAAGCATGCGGAGGACAGTGTAGTCTAGATCATTCCTTCGTATAATGCGGTCATCATCTATTGCAAGATGAGTGAAAATGTCTGGACGAAACAGTTCCGGAGGCTTTGAGTACACCGAGGCAAGAAGCTCTCTGGCCTCCGTGATGCGATGGTGGTTGAGCTCGTCATGCTCATCTGCGTAGGAATACGGCTTCACTACAGAGCAATGCAGCCCATCAGCCAGTATATCCAAATGGAAATCGGAAATAGCCTGAAATGGATCACCCATCTCTTCCGCATATCCGTACTTGTTCATGCTCAAAGGCTTAGAACCGTCGTGGTTGTACAGAGTCTGTTTGAGGACTTGGTCAAGAAGCCAGAGCAGATGACCACATGGGGCATCCGGGGCCTCATCATCTTGGCCACACGAGCATGAGAGACGGGGAGATGTCCCAGGGATCTCTGGAGCTCGGATTCGAATAGACCGCGTAACCAACTCTGTCATTTGAAAGGCATACGTGTTTCCGATGCGTCGGCATCGTTGTAGTGCAATCTGCGGAGGCTCGTTGAAGACATCCCGTACTACAGCTTTTCTCATGTCTGAAAGCTGGTCAAGATTGTACAAGAGCCGTGAAGGAGACCGTACAAAGGCAGGGTATTCATTTCCGTCATCGTTTGTATAGTCGTCGTCGTCACCGCTATCAGTACCCGACGCACTCGAATCTTGACCGTCCCAGTAACTTGGCGAAGCGGCTCCTGAAGCAGCCCCCGCTGTTGAACGGGTCATTGGTGGCATCTCTTGGAGTGATAGGTTTCCAAGCCGATGAAGAGGAGAAGACATGGGTGTTGTTTCTGTTGATGGTTTTGTCATCTGGGGGATTCAGCACCATGGCAGAAATTATGAGGCGTGTATGTGATGAGCAACGAAGGAAGAAATGATGAGAGTAATGCTTCTCGTTGCTCTCTCATTCTTCTCTTTCTCCCTCTTCTCATCCTCTCCTTCCTTGGACACGTGTAAACCATGGTGGACAGTCTGGTCGTTATATACGATGACCCGTAGTAGATGTCGGCTCGTGGATTTGCAAGAGGAAAGGGAAAAAAGTGGCTAGCGAGATCCCAACCTTGGTGCCGGGAACCCCAAGGCATTGGCTCACAGGGCGTTTTTTTCTCTCTCGCTGCAGCAGGACAGAATAAAATGGGGTCTGGAGTGTAACAATCAGGAACAGCAGTGCTATTGAAAAGCCGTGCGGCAGATGAGCTTGATCAAAAACGGCCAAAGGCGTTGGCCGAAAGCGATGGGAAGGCACGACCAACAGGTCTAGGTGCATTTGCCCATGTGTTGCACATATATGTATGTACATACATGCATACAATTACAGAGTGCAATTGGAATACGGCCCGAGTGGGGACATATCGCGTGTCTGTGGCTTGGGCTCTTGGGTCAAGTTCTTTGGGTTGCTCTCAGTTGCTCTGGGTCGCTAAGCCGTTCGCCCTGAATGAGGAACCTGTAATAACGACATCATCATTGATCCCAAGAGACCCTTGTCGGACCTGCTCCAAGGGGACAAGACCGAAGCGGCAGAGACCTGACGGTCGATTGCTCGGGTTCTTGTGGCTGTGGCAATCAAAAAGTCTTTCTTGGGCCTGGGGACGCAGCAAAAACTGATCTCACCTTGCCTTGCACCCGTTTGGGGTTGCTGCATCAGATCGCTTCTCCAACCTTGTGTCCTCGGTTTCTAAAGAAAGCACATTGAGGGAGGGATCCAGCGAGCCACACAGCCTCGTCGCCGGCAAATACGATGTTTCCAGCGCAGTGGATTGACCCCCGAATACAGCAGGGGCAGCAGGAACAACAATGGACAACAGGGGGAATATTGCTTGTTGGTGCATTGAACGTTATTTGCCGCTCGTCATGACCACCGTGGAAAGTCGCAGTTCAGAATCGGACGTCAACCACCATTGCCATCACCACCATCAGCATCACCCAACTAGTATCTCTTGTAGCCCGCCACTAGCATCGACACCGTCACCATGGCCATTGTTGATAGACCGAGTATTCAAACTTTGTCCTTTGCTTCTCCACGGACTCTGCTGAAGCCGCCAACAGGTCCATCAGGCCATAGTGTTGGTCGTCGCCGGCATCATGGATTGACTCCCTCACTCCCCTTCTGCCTTCAACGTCGCCATCGTCGATGACATGCAACTCTGATGCTAACAGTCTTGGACACTAGGATACCGGCGTAGAACACTCAACGTTGGCCATCCATCAATGGCACAACATGATCGGAGCTCCCGGGAACTGGGCCAGCGCCGGCCCCAACACCGAGGAAAACAAGAACTTGACGAGTTTTCTGCCTGTGACAACGGCCAACCCATCCAACAAGCCGGGACATTTTTCTTTATACAGGCGCATCATGTCCCACAGAGGCGCTATTGACGTTGCATCAACCACTCTGCATCACCATTACTAATGTCCGGCGACGATTTAATTTTGTTCATGACGATGAGTTCTTGTAACTGCCATTCCTTCTGCTTCGCATGGATCGGGGCAGACTAACATGCATCATCCTCGGTCGGCCATGTTGGTGGTGTTGGCCGGCGGCTACTGGCAAGAGAATGCCTCGAGTTGGGCAACACCAACACCGCCATTAGTTGTACACACGTCTAGCGTATGTAGTGAGAAGAGTGCGGCCAAAAGAGATTAATTTATACAGTTTTAATTTTTATTTTTATTTTTACTTGCTTGCTAGTTCATGCTGTTTCGCCGCCAGTGTTGTGCAGGATTGCATGTTCGTTCGTTCCAAGCCCCAGATCATGGACTGTACTCCGTAAGATATTGGCCAGACTCAACATTGCTCGCTTAAGATGATGGAGCACACGCGACTCCCATGGCAGCCTTAAGCGCGCTGATGTCAACTGCAACCAGGCCACTAGGCGGCGCGCCTGAGGCAAACTGATCGCAGGCGCGGGGGGAGGACGCCTGCATGAAATTCAGGGCAGGCACTTCCCCCTCGGCACCTTCTCAATAATGCTCAGGGATGCCCTCTCCTCTCTCATCCCGTCGAACCACCACCATCCCACGTCATGATGGAATGCATCGCCGTCTCGGTCCTCCCGCACAAACGAAGCCAACACGCAACTACGGGTGAGATTACACGTCGCCTGTCCGCCCGTCCCGCCACGCCAAGCCCGACGCCGAAGTGGCCCAGCGGCCCCAAAACCCGGCCCGGCAGACAGGCACCGCCTCACCCGCCACGAGGCCAGGCATCCTCGCGCGTCTGCCAGTCAAGAAAGATATCACGGAAATCCAGACTCCTCGGCAGCTCTCATCAGCATCATGCAATCATGTCATCATGTCTTGCGGACCCCCAATTTGCGGCATACCCAGCTCTTTGGGCTTTACCCTGCCACTGCCCACCGGGGCGGAAAACGAGAAAAAAAAAAGGTGTAAAAGGGCCGAGTGTCTACGTGATGTTTATGCAAGACTGCCTGGAGCTTTATTGGGGTTCCATGTGTACTGTCAGATGGGGCGGTTTATTTTTAACAATAGCCGCGAGAAAGCGCGAATCGTAGGACGAGCGACTGTCATGGGCGGTTGAAGGCCGCTCACTCTCTCATCATCAAGTCATCTGCCGTGGGCTGTGAAATAAACGCTTGCCGACGTTGTGGAACCCGCAAGAGTGCTATTTTCTCGACGCTGATACAACACGGGTAGTGCCAGTCTTGGATTGCCGGAACGCAGAGCCTCCCTCTTCGCCCTCACCTTGCACCCTCGTCGTTTGCGCTCCGTTCTAGAATACCAGCATGCGTCTGCATGCAACGCATTCCTCAGCCCGCAGAGAGCACACGGTGACGGCAGGGCCTGCTTCTCATAGCGCTGTAATGCGACGTTGAATACACAGCGGC